ACATACATACATACATATTACTACACACACACAATATATATATATATATAATATATATATATAAATATATATATATATGTATATATATGTATATATATATATATATATATATGGTATCTGGTTGTGATAGAACGGATATTGATGTATGCAAATACATTCACTGTCTGATATGAGACTACGCTGAACACAAAAGCTTTGGCTGTTTACACATACTTTATACTGGCTATTTTGGGCTTTAGCTATTGATTGTAGTGATATTCTGGCTATATTGAGCGTCAGCTATTGATTATAATGCCAAAACCCTTAGTTCTCGCCTGTGGAGGCATCACTTATCCCCGGTACCTTCCTTTTCAGGGTGCTTTGTAGTAATTGATCTAATTCTGCTCTCTCGGCCGGTGTGAGCCTTTCCAGGAAATCCTGTCGATTATTTTCAATGACCATACGGTTGTGTGCTTCTCTTTCCAACTCTTTTTCATCTGCAAATGATACGCAAAAATAACAAATTCAACTTGCGCACTGTCTATTTGCGATCGGCCTTAGAAAAAGTTAGGCTTGCATGTCACAGATGCAGTAGATATAAATCTGATACAAAAATAACGAATATATAATATTTACTATCACAAGGTCAACGAATTTGAACTATTCACTATCACAAGGTCAGGAATAAATGCAACTTTGACTTCGACATTGGAGAATGGGCAACAAGTCGTTGAAAGACACAGAAGAGGCAGAAAACCTGATGCCAATAAAACAAATTTGTAATGTTCATTACCAATACGTGATGCTAATAAAACAAATTTGAAATGCTCATTACCAATACAAGAACGTGAGGCGTAGAGGAATTTTCTGCGCTATTGAAGTATGGATAAGTCAACAATCTTTGCATCGAGTTGGAAGTATGGGCAAGTCAACTATGTATGCATCGAGTTGTTTACAGCTATCAAATTCGGCGACGAGAAAATAGAATCGTACATGAGTGCACACTACTCTTTGAATGGTTGACCCATTCATATCGTGAAGCACAATCCAATAACACTTGTAAATAACTTCACTTCGACAAGCATACGCTCTACACTATTTTATGGAACAACAAACAGGTTGAATCCACGACTTACAAAATCCGGTTTTAAGCATAAACAGCTCCATAGCTCCACCAATTAGAAGGCCAGAAGCGACCACCTTTCCCGGTAGGGATGTCGCATATCCTAGTAGCTGGTTCATCACGCAGCTTATTATGAGATCTAATTCCTCCTTCGATTATATCAATAGTTATATCAAGGTGTACACATAGCCTTCTGAATCATACGTAGATGATTATTTTTACTTTGTTTTGATCCCGTGTGTGGGTTTGTGCTGTTTTCTACATTGTCGACAATAAACCCTAGAAACTAAAAACCCAAGATAGCTCTGTATGCCCCCTCCTGTGTGTAATCGCTTTGTATTCGTATTGTAATAACATCTGTATTATTAGGTTTTGCATATTTTAGTGATGGTTTGATTCGAAATGTTGGCATGTTTGCATAATGCACACATATGCCGCACCCAAGGTCTCACTAGTTTTGGATTTGGAGGGTGTGTTATATTCTCGTAGTGTGTGGATGGTAATCTTAGTGCATAGTCTGGGGGCAGTGATAAAAATTGGGACTTTCATTTACTTTCTCTTGAGCAGGTTTTGCTGCATTATCCATTCCGAGTGTACATACTGCTTTGTTCTATTCAAATATGATTCGATTGTCAAAAACAGCGATATACATACTCAAATTCAAACACCAGCACATAGCGGGAAGGTGTATTGTATACAATATATATATATATATATATATATAATTTATATAATTTTATTTTTAAATATTTATGTGACTTTATTTACATATATATATATATACATACATATATATTTTTATATTATATACATACATACATACATACATACATACATATACAT